ATAAAATAAAATAGCAGTTTTTTAATATTACAATGCTGCCTGTGATGGTAACTAGATAATAACTGGTCATCTTTGTTAGTATTTTTGGTGTAGTGAAGTAAGCTATTTCAGATTTAAGAAACACTTGAATTCATTTACATCTGGATCCCACCTGGATCCTGCTGTAACTAAAATCCTTAGCAGAGCTTCCATTTTTTTAGCAGTTGGATGTACTATATATGTGTACTGCAAACATAATTACGAACAGTAACCCTTAACCCTTGTTACTGCCACTAAGTAGAGCATGCTCCAATGCAAGAAGGGAGTTAGCATGGCAAAACACTTTTTTTTTTTTTTTTTTTTTTTTTTTTTTTCCTAACAGGGAAATAAACTGCTACTTCATAGGAGACATGGTTTTGCCCTGTCATTTCAGTACAGTTAAACAACTTGATTCTGGTCACAGACCAACCAGTGGTCTGTAAAGCACACCACACACTGCTATGCTGATGTGAACAACAGGAGTTTTGGAAAAATGTTACCACATCTTATTCCATAGTAAAAGTAAAGTAAGTCAAAATCGAGTTGTAGACTGTTAAAGAGAAATGCCATGGCATAAGTCACTTATTTGGCCTCTTTGCTGCTGCATATATGTGTTTTCTTACCTATATAATGAATAAAAAGAATTATTTAATACTCATGTAAATTATGTGAAAGTGTTCTACAGTGCCGAAATTATTCACAACTTTGTACATAAACCTGATAGATTAGGTAGGAGAATGGCTAGTCTGATTACAAACTAGTTGAGTTAGAATAATTCTGTATGTTCTTTGAAGAGAAATATCGTAGTTGCTTGATAATGCTAAACGAAGATTTGTCTGTCTTAAGGTAATCCTAAATGAGGCTGCTTACTGTCTATAAATATTAAGGAAGAAGAAAAACTTGTCTGATCAGAAAGTGTTGTGAATGCTGATACTTATTTTTTTTTATTTTAATAAAATTTTTGTGTATCAGTTCCAACATACTGAGAAGGGAGAAAAATTCAGCAAACTTTGAATGTTTATACTAAGTTGTTCTGCTAGCAGTTCAGGTTCTTGTTTTGATAATTTTCTTTTCTTTTGTCTCCTTTGTTTTCCTTAAGGCCTTATTCGATTACAAGAGCTCATCAAGGCTCCATCACGATACAACCTGAGACTAAAAATACGTCAGTTACCAGCTGACACGAAAGATGCAAAGCCATTGCTAAAGGAGATGAAAAGAGGCAAAGAATTCCATGTAATCTTTGACTGCAGCCATGAAATGGCAGCAGGCATCTTGAAGCAGGTAATCCTCATTTTGCTTTAGATGACCTAATCTTTTTCATGCCTAATAAATAAAAGTAATATCCAGACTTAATGGCATTTAACAAGCAGGGGAATTGTATGTCAGTTTTACTGAGGCCTAACTGAAAATCAGCCAAGGGTTTCCGGGATAATTTTACTGGTGACTATAATGGTAGCTGCTTTCATTATGTTTTTTTAAAGGAACAGATTAATTGGTTCATGTACAGTGGAAAAGGTATATCAGTCTTTCAACTATGAAGAATTGGTACTTTGGATAATTGATGCTTTAACCAGGGTTTTAAATGCTTGTTTAGTGCTATTTTATATAACAATGATTTTTTTTTTTTTTTTAAATTGAAGGCTCTAAATTGTGTACTCTTATTCAGATAGTGATATTTGAATGGTATGTTACCAACAGACCACATCAATGTGTTCCACTGAGAGGACAGAACTAATAGATATTTTTTAGAGCCATATTCTTGCATTACTAATAGGACTGCAAAACACCTGAATACATTTGGGTAGGTGCTCTGAAAGTGTTTGCTTTGTTGTCTACAAGTAGGATGAGTAGGTGAGATACAGCAAAATCACAAATACTTGACTGGCTTTGTATTGCAGAAGCAGATTCCAGTGATGCCTTCCAAGAGAAGGTGACAATATACAGTTTACAAAGGACATGGCTCATAAAAAAACTTAATGTAACACTGAAGTATGCATAGAAAACATCCCTTTGTGTGTCTTCTTTAGTTTGATGAACTAGCTCCAAAGACTAGGAATTCCTTATGTTCAGAGGCCATTTTCCCCATAGTTTTGTAATTGAACTATAACTTGCAATAAGGAGGATAAGAAAAATACCTAAAACATAACAATGTTCTACATTTCAAATGCACAGCTTTTAGTGACTTTAATTAATGTTGATATTACATTTACTAGCAGGCTGTATGGTTTAAATTGAAAACAAAATGTATTTAAGATTTCAAAATATGACTCTCATTAAAGGTACTTAGGGATATTGTTGTGGGTACAATTAAAATTGCTAGTAAACATACATCTATACTATCATTTCTTTGCTTTATTGTTCACTGATTAAAAGGCTTTTATTAATTCCTAGTAATCTTAAACCTCTGCTGGTGGCATTTGCTCTTTGCTAAGCATAAGCCAGCTTTGTTAGTCCAATTGTTTAGCCCAAATCATTAAATGTACATTTAATTATTTTAACTTCTTAAAAATGTAGGTGAAATATGTGTTGATGGCAATAGAATGCTGCAGCACCAACAATAACTCTATCAAGTTACTTTATTTATAGTGTACCTGGTAGTTTTTAGGTTAAAGGAAACTTTTCTTTCATAGTATACAACATTTTTAAAAACATATGGCTAGAGGGAAATGGGAGCAAAATTAAAAGCATTGTATCTTTAATCATGTCCCATGACCCGAGAGTGTCAGTTCAGCCTTTTAAATCAAATTGTAAACTGTTTTGTCAAACTACTTTGTTAATCCTAAAGATTATAGAAGTAAGATACAGGAACAATTCTTTCATGAGTGTTTGTATCTTTACACAGTTTCTGTAGAGTTTTGTCTTTCCATTCAGTGGCAATATTGCAATGCTTTAAATATATCTAAAATTGGTAGTTCTGCAGCTGAATGTGAGCTCTTGCTGCCAAAATTAACACAAAAGATGTTAAGACTGTATTTATTATTCAGTGATATAATTCCAAATATAGTGTTTGTGTTTGCTGAAAAATAATGAAAAAATAAAAATATATATTCATTTGTGAACTATTAGTTAACCAATTTTTTGTGGTAATGGAGGGATGAACTTGCGGAGACATGACAAAGGGTTTCTTCTTGGGAGGATGATGGGAAAGATTAACAACGAAGCTGGTAGAACAGAAAAATGTTGGACATAAAGGGGGAAAAAAATAGGTACCTTGAGAGGTCAGTGAAATGGCAACTACTGTTTTCTGGCCAAAAGTACATTATGAAAAGAAAAAAAAAATCCCATCATTCAGACAAACATAATTAAATTAAGGCAAATCTCAGTGGTAACTGTGTCACCAGGCAACCTGGAAAGCAGACATGACTTAAACGGTTGAGGAAGCACTGGAATAATGAGGCAAGAAAAATTACAATGTTTTGAAGAGGAAAAAGGTGAGAGATCTTTTGAGAACTGAGGAAAGTGAGAGAAATAAGACATGGAAAAGAGACAACACCAACACATAACAGAATTGGAAACATACATAGGATGTTCTTGAGTAGAGATTCTGTGGAGTATGAAAGACCTGATTATAAGCAGTAGAGATATAGGCAACTGCAAATGTGTTAGTATATGGAGGAAGATACCTTGGCTTTATTTAAAAATAACAACAAAAAAAGCTCTTAACAAAGCTAACAATATTTGTAGTTGTACAGTTTCTTATGAAGTTGTAATGTTTCTCGTGAGATAATGGTTTTCCTGTGTTTAAGAGAATTTAAATTCTTATTGGCACACTGTCCTATAGTCCTAAATGTTATTGTGGAATTCTAAATACACAGGTATAGGCATCCTTTGGAAAAGCATTGTTGCAGTTTTGTCAAACTCTTGTTTATAATATTATAAAATCTGATCCACAGCTGATATTTCAAATTCATTTTAGCTTTTAACTTTTCTTTGGAAAAGAACATATAGATTAGTCATTTCACCATTTTTCAGGTGATGTTATTAGTAAAAAGTCTCCCACAGACTTCAGAACCCTCATAGTATAATTGTTGCCTTCAGTGTGTTTAGGAGGTGTAACTGGTAGTGTCTTGGCAAAGAAGTCCATTGATAATTTCTGGAAAGGAAGAAAGTGTAGCTTGTGTAGCTTTTTACAGTGCTAAAATTGGCTAAAAGTCACTGTAAATACTAAAATGATTGAATGAATCATACTAGTTTAAGGCAACCTTTGTGCAGAGCATGAAGATACATGCTTTTCAGGTGAAAATGCCCTTAATGAGTAAGAGTTATGAGATTCATAGTTTATTGCTTTAAAATTTTATCTATAAATATTTGTTCTTATACTGTTAAAAGTATGAACATTTTAAATTGTGTAGTTGATCAAATACTATTTGGTATTACATAGAGCAAGACAGATGAACATACTTGATAGATACCTGAGTTTGTAGAGTAGTACTATGAATGTTCTTCATTTTTACTGAAGTATTATGTATCTAGCTGTCCAAAACTTGACTCGAGTATTTTCTTCCATGGTTGAAAAAATATACACATGTATAATTTAGGCTTGGTCTTTGTTTTAAGTGGATAGCAGTGTTCATCAAAATAGAAAAAATATTTCCTACTAGGTTATTCTTTTTAAGGGAAAGGTTCAATAATGAATGAAAATATTGTTAACTCAGACTTTGTGTGGCAACTTAATGTGTCCATTAGTATGTAGATCTGTAAGCCCCTTTCACATTTACTGCACTAAACAGTCTAATAATACTCTTTCTATCAGAAGATCTGGTTCATAAAATCCTTTAATAGTCAGTAATCTGCTCTAACTGCTAGGAAATGACTTGCTTGACCTAATTTTAGTATAATTCCAACCCTATAGTCTGATCCCAGTAGTGCTCTTTTGCAGCTTTTCGTTTGCCATGTAAGTGTGATAAAAATGTATTATGTGACCTCCGAAACATTAATCTTTTGTTTATCTTTTTTAAGGCTTTAGCTATGGGAATGATGACAGAATACTATCACTATATCTTTACCACACTGGTAAGTGGCTTAAACATACTGATGGCATCTAACAAAGATGTTACTTTCCTTAATTATGTTCCTTGACCAAGTGAAAACAGTGTCTCTGGAATGGGGTGTGACTACATGATGTTTTTGCTGTTAGTTTTCTTACTTTCAGTGAAAACTCATAAGGATGGTTTAATTACTGTTCAGCAGTGTACCCTGGAAACTGATAGACCTGAAAAAGCAACTGACTCCGTAGCACTGCAGTTTTTGACTTTCAAGCAGAGCTAAATATATAATTCATAATTGATTATTTATATTATGAATTTTGTCCTTTTTCTTTTTAGCTATTTGTATGTGAAGATTACGACATTTTAAATTTACTCATATATTCTCTATTTTTAGTCCAACATTTTACAAGGTAATTCTTCTCAGTCAGATGATTCTTGAATAATTTGGTGTGAATTTTAGCAGCATTTTTATTTAACAGTCCACATGAGCTTTTTAGATACATGAATTATGCAATATTTTTTGGTGTTCATTGTGAAAGTAACTGAGAAAGAATTTGATCAGTCTTGGAATCATCAGATTTAACATTTGCAATAAATTAACATTTTAAATGTGAATACTCTAACAAAACATAAGAAACATGTATGTGAAAACCTTTTTTTGCTGCTCACCACAGCCTAACTAAGAAAGAGTTTAAAAGCTGGTAAAAGAGTACTTTATAAACTACAGTTGTGCATATTTCTCTGTTTTTCCTTGTGTTGAAATTTGTCTATTTAGATTACAGTTCATTAAGATTCTTAAAATACAAGTAATTTCAAGCATGAGACAGATGTGCCTTGGTAAAACCATGCTTGAAATGACCTATGTTTAAAGTCACACACATGTTCAAGTCGTTGTGGAAATGAATCCTTTGTGGTAGGATGGAAAGTTCACCTCAGAATCACAAAACAGAAGTTCATGGAAAGTGTTAGTATGGAAATAGTTTGTTGAACAGAAAGCAAAATAATTTGTGAAGTTCTTTAGAACTGTAAAGGCAAAATACCCTGTACAAGTACCTGACTTAATTTAGAAGGGTTTTTGTATCACTTATGGATTTAGGACTGTATGCAACAGAATCACCCTCACTAGTCTATCAAAATAGATTCTAGATGTTTCAAGGGATTTTTTATTTTTTAAATTTTAATTTTGCTATTGGTGGAAATATCTTTTTTTAAGTGGTATGCTGTCCATTAACATTTAATTTTCATTCCTAAAGCTAGATTTAAAAATCAGGATTTTCTGTCATTCTTATTTCCTTATTAGAACATTAGCTTTTTTTAGGAGAGACAAATATTAAATTGACTTGGAGCTATCAAAAGATTATTTAGTGTGCACAAACGGATGATAGATTTTGATTTTGCAATGTAGCTTTGGAACTTGCATCAGAATTTAGTTGTTTTGATATATTAATTACTTCTTTCTTGACATGGTGAACATCCTGTCAAATAAATTTTCCAGTCACAGTGTTTACAGTAGTCTTCTGTGTATTCTCCTCTTGATTGATTCAGGGTCTAATGCAGTAGCTCATTAATACACTGACCTGTGTGTATTTATAATACATCCATAACATTGTTGTGTATATTTATTATATTCCAGTGTAAACAGGAAAATGTTTAGATTAAACAATTACATCTGAGGGTCTGATTTCTTTCACAGTAATAACTGAGATAATTTTTAAAGGGAAAGATGTAACATAGTTCTAGTTATGTCCTACCTTTCCTTTGGAATAAAATATTTAATTTCTCTAGAAAGCGGACATGAGTTAGGTTATCTGTAAATGAATAACTTAAAAGCATTTTGACACTTGCATATCTTAGGTGTATTATATGTGGAAAATGGCATAATAATGACTAGCTGTAATTAAAAATTGGTAGTGATTTATAACTGGTTGATATTTTAATGAGCTTAGTGATGTTAACAATGAACAATGAATTATATTCTGGTTTTCCATAGTACAGTATTTAATCTTCTTCAGGTCTAGCTACTAAAGAAAACAGATTCAGGCAAGGGTTACACCTAACGCCACCATTTCATGGAAATTTATAATATATTATACTGCCAGCAAAAACTAAATTAAAAATGCAATGAACGAATAAGTATGAATTATGTGGAGAATTTCCATGTTCAATTAAGCTAAAGTTGGTGTAGGACAGTAATGTCTTATGTATGGCCTTGATTATGTCACTTTTAAAAATTATTTAAAAGTAGACAGAAAGTAAACCAAATGAAAGCTAATTTATAATGCATGTAGCTAGACCTAGTAAGTCACTACTGTTTTCTTCATAAACTTTTTTTTTTCCGCCATGTTCAAAACTTTATCTTAGACCTGAGTTTCCTGAAGTCCAACACTGGTTCTACATTGCTTCTAAGGATTCTGTCAAAGGATTGGGATAATCTTGACTTTACTGGCTTGATCCAAAATTTTATTTTCTTCTTTTTCTTAATTTATATTTGCCTCTGTGTGTATTGGGGGGCTAGATATATACACAAATACATATATATTTATTGCAAATGTATTAATTGGCACAGTTTATTCTTGCAGAGATAAATTCCTAATAAAAGATATGCCCATGTTTTGGAAGTACGATTGATAGCTGTGAAAAACACTTTTGGTTACATTTGAAGCCGTGTACATTTCCCTTCTTCTCCCCAATATATTGGCTGAAGATCAGCATGTTCAAGTTTCATAGAGGGTGAAGGTTCAAGGAAACTCTTGTTCTGTTTACTTTATGATTTGAAGCCTGTTCTGTTATGATTTGAAGCCTGTTCTGGTAAGCCAAAAAAGTAACAATTAATGATAGCATTTTTATCAATTAGTAATAATATTTAAGCCTACCTAGTACTGGATACAGTTCTGCAACAGGAGCTGGCATTTCTTAAAAGGCTTTTTTTTTTTTTTTTAAGGGAAAAAAAAAAAAGGCAGTTGAATCTGTGCTTCATCTGTGAATCAGATTACTCCCACTATAGGGTCAGCTGAGTTGCTTGCTCACAGGCACAGGCCCCTAGAAAAACAGAACACACTTCCTAGCATATAAAGTACTGTTACTCCTGAGGATTTCAGTACTCTCGTCTGGGGAGGTGGTCTAACAATTGAAATAGGAACTGCAGTATATTCAATAATTTATACAATGGTCATTTTTTTCAGGACCTGTTTGCCTTGGATGTGGAACCCTATCGGTATAGTGGTGTTAACATGACTGGATTCAGGATTCTAAACACAGAAAATACCCAGGTGTCATCTATCATTGAAAAGTGGTCTATGGAGCGTTTGCAAGCACCTCCTAAGCCTGATTCAGGTTTGCTGGATGGATTTATGACGGTATGAATATCAGTGTTTAGTTCCCTTTTTTTTTTTTTTTTTTTTGCATATATTTGTGAAGTTAAAAAAAACCTTTTAACTTTTCATTTCTGTTCACTAAAATTTTTTAGAGGTATGAGACCAAATGTCATTGTAAATGAGTCAGACACTAACTGTGGTGTGTCTGTTAATATTCTGTAGACTGACTACATGACCATATTAACTTTATTACAAAATTACAGATACTTTACTTTTTCTGAAAGACAATGTCAGATTAAAATAGTTCATCTAGTCCATACTCCACTACTGTATTGTTGAAAATATTGTATGCGATCATGTCAAATCCTGACAAAAATCAAGCTAAATCTCAATTGTTTCTTCCTCTATGTTTTCTGACCTTATTCATTTAAGATTCATTAATTAATAATGTGTACTATTTAATTTATGCATAATTCTTTAAAAAATATTTTATGAGTGCTATAACTCTTTCTTACTATTTTTTCCAATTTCTGTGCCTTAATATAGCTAATTTATCTGGTTTGGTTTTTTTTCCCCTTTCATTGCCATTATTCTCTGGCCTCACTTCAGTTCATGAGTATCACAATTACATTCATGCAAATAAACTTTCATTGTTAGGTTTTCAGTGAGTTTCTACTCATTAGTTGGAATAAAATTTTGAATTATGATGTGAGGAAGAGATTTATTTTAAAACATATCCTACATTAGGACCTCTTTAGTTTTCAAATTTGTTTGAAAGATACAATTTTCCACTTTTTGGCCAGGAGCACTTTGTAACATCTTTGCTGACAGAGTTCCAATTCTCTTTTAAATTAATTTTTTTTAGAAGCCTTTTTTGTTCCACTTGAAAAATAAAAAATTCTATTTCCTGAAGATTGGTGTCTTAGTTTTCTATAGGTTATCTACATTGTGTTTATTGAGCCACATAACATAGCTAATCTTTTGAACAATTTTTTTCTACTGATAAAATTTAAAGATTTTCTAGACATTAGGTACTAAATGGCAATCTGTATTTTAGAAGGTTAATTTCCTTTTTGTCTTGTTTTTAGAAAATTACTCTTTTTAGAGAAAAAGACTTTTTTCTATTTAGTTGTTGTATGTACTGCCTTTAATGAGGTAATTGTAAATATTTTAAATTTAATTTATTTACTAGTTCTGTTGTGCTGCACTTTTAAAGTACTGTATGATGGGATCTGTAAAGTTACATTCTTAATTTCTCTAGGTAATTCCAAATAAGTAAATGAACCTCCTAAAATTTTAGAAATATGCAAAGTATGCATCTGGCATACATGTAGCTGCTGCTTATTATTGCAAGTCACTATTTCATGCTTCCTTTTTTGCATTAATATATTCATTTCATTGACTTATTATCAATGAAGTTGTTAAGTTTGTAAAATTTTACTTCCATTTCACTGTTCTTGTGTATTTAAAGTCAGAAATGCACTCAGGAATTAAAGGTTCTAAACAGATTAATTGCTGTTACGGAATACTCTAACTGATATGGGCTGAAGTGGAATTTTTTTCTTTTTCCTGGTTGATAAGGACTACAGCTTATTCAGTAAAAAATATTAACAATAAACCTGCTTAATGGGAATGCATTCAGCTTGAGCCACATAGCTATATGCCATTTAATCAGGTATTAAAAGAGCTGAAACTTGAGAATTTGCCAAATAAAAAAAGTGATGTTCATATATCTCTGAGCATTTAGAGAACTCAGTGAAGACTAACTGATTTCTAATGGTATAAAACTAGGCAGTTATAGATCACAAAGTTTACAAGCTCTGATGGTGTTTGTGTTTTGTCCTTCTTCCTCTGAATTTTCCACCGTATGTAAATCAACTTAGCCATCACGACAGTTAGAACTGTCAGTTTGACTCTGACATTGCGTTTCCTTATTTATGATTCATAGAGTTCCCAGTCTTAGTTCTTGTTTTAAGTTGTTTTCTGTAGGCTTCTATAGATCTCTAATTAGTATGTAATTTTTCTCATAATTATCTGACCTGGAGTATCCCAATGTAACAAAAAGTGGGTACAAAATTTCATCTCGTCTCTTTGGAATGTTCCAAGTCAAATTTCCAAGTGTGACTCCTGTTGACTTCGGTTAGAATAGTTTTCCTTTCATTTCTAGGCTGGTCCACAGAACACTTTTGCACACTCTGGGAAAAGCAAATTTTCCATCACATTTCACTCTCATTTTAGGGTTTCCTAAGATTCTTTGCATGGGCTTTGGAAAAACAAATTTAAACTATTTAATGAATAATACCATATTTAACCATTCCACTGTTTAATAAACGTTGATTTATTTGTATGACAAAGAAACTAAATGATTTACAGGAGTAACTACAGTAGCACAATTGGCTTTGTTCTTTCTGTGACTCCAGAAAATCTGTGGAATGTTGGAAATCATTTGCTGTGTCATGTCAGACGATATATTTTCTTTACACAGACTTGTGATAAAACATTTGCTTGTATAAATATTTATAAGAATCCAATAGATATGATGTCTACTAAAGTCTAAACTGATTGGTGACTTTAAAACAAAACTCTGAATATACTTTTATTATTATACATAGAAGTCCTGAGGAAGCCTCAGCGGTCTACTTTTACTGAAGAGGCTTTTCTATAATGATTCACATACTAATAGATTTCATTATACTTTTGATGGTTCTTTCATATTCCTTTATTGGTCCAAAGATAATCAAAGTGTTGCTTATCCTCACAGTATATTAATAACAACCTACTTGTGTTCCTATTCAAATATATTTGCATCTTTTTTTCTGTGTCACACTTGCGCAGAAATGTATGTGCATGCATGAGTGATATAGCTTACTAGATTACTTTAAACATTACGTTTATTTCTTAAATGTGTAAAGGTCTTTTTTTTTTTTTTCTGGGTATTTTCAGCAGTCTTGTATTTACTTTGATTATTGTTGTTCTCTCACCATCCTTGTACTAAACACACAAAAATAAATACATAATGCTTTTAAAAGTAAAGATCACATGGAACTGGCACATGCCATGTTTCTTATAATAAAAGTATAGGAATATGTTAATGATAATTCTGTCAAAGGTGTAAGAAGCCATGCCTTTAGAAAATATCAGAAGAAAATAAAAGTCAAAGACCAATCTATTGCAATACTTTATCTTTCATGCTAGTAGAATTAACTGTATCTAACATTTCTCTTTTTCTCATTGTCTCCTTGTTTCTTCTTGTTATCGTTGGAAAAGTCCCAATGAAATAATGAATAAAATCTTTGCCCATGTTAAATCCAAACTTGGGGATTTTTCAGACTAGAATTAATTTTGTAATGAATTCTCACTTGATCTTGTACTTCCTGACTTAATTGAGCAATACACAAAAGTGTTTGTGGTTTTTTTTTTTTGGTTTTTTTTTTTTTTTTCCCTTTGGCTTCTTACATGTTCCCAAATAAAATCTAAAGTGTCTTTAATCTGTCACAATCTAGCTGATAAATGTCTCTTCATTCGTGCTTTTCCCTGTTTCTCACCACTAATTTCACTTGTTAGCAGTTCGAAATGCACATTTATAAAGTCAGACCGCAGACAGGGTGGGTCATTACCTTTTGAACTTGCCCCTTCTATGAGAGGCAAAAATGTGCTGAACATTAAGGTAAAAAGCAACAGGTATCGGTTTGGTCAGCTGCCAGACTGGACTAATAAGGTTTTATTTATGGCATAATCATTCTGCTAGAATGTTTAGTTGCCTAGACCTCTTTTACAGGGTTAAAGAAGCTGGTGCATAAAAGTAAAATACAGACACCTGCAGAATATTTTTTCCATGTACATTTCTGTCCCAGAGACTAATTAATTATAACATATGAACAGCATTCAAATCAAAAGAGGTTGAATAGCATCACTGAAAGTTTTGAGGTTTGCTCCAAGATAAATATTTGGAGTTGTGTGTCACCAAAACAAATTTTTTTTTTTTTTTTTCTATACAAAATGTATGATAGATTCAGGTACACAAACCTTTGGTTCTGTTGAGGCAATCCGCCTCAGAAGTATTTCAACATTGCAGATTGCAATACAGACTGAAACTAGTCTGAAATGGAGCCTTGTGTTACGATGTTACTAAACCACTTTTACCTAGATTGAGGACCTTTAGACAATTTTCTGATACATGATATATTCATTACTGTTACTTTTCACTAACTTTATGCTAAATTCTGAAATTTGAAAGTGAGCATTAAAAAGCACCACTATTTTTCCACCAGAATAAGATGTTGTCTTGAAAAATGAATTTACAATGTAAGTTAAGAAACCAAAACAAAACGGATTGAAATAAAAACATTTAATTTCTGTATCTTTAGCTTTTATTTTATAAAAAGTTGAAATTTGTAAGAGGTCATCCTGATTTAACCTGGAGCAAAAAACCAAATTTTGGATTTTCCTGCAAGATGGAAAAGTTACTTAATTATCATGACTGAGCATTTTTGTTAAATTCTAACAGTATTGTCATTTCATATAACCTGCATTAATGGAAAGATATTCTGGAAAACAGAGGAATAACATACTCTTTTCAAGAAACTTTACTTTGGTATACTAGGTTTCTTATTTCTGAATCTGTACAAGTAGCGCTCAGAATGAGAAAAAAACCCCAAACCCCTGGGCATAAATACACTTCTACATTTATATATGACAGTCATGATTCAGACCAACCATGCAGAGCATGAAGTGTTATGATTTCAGAATTCTTTTACTCTACAACTGTTAACAGTTTTCTGCGCCTCAGGTCAGAAGCTAGCTTGCATAATTAAGATGACCTAACAAGCTCTGCTGCTTCATTAATGTAAAGTTTTCTTTACTAATTGCTTTTGCCTATCATCTGGTATAGCTATATACTTTCATCTTACATAGAAAAGTGTGCTTTTTTTCTATTCTGACTATTAACTCTATTCTTTAACGTTCATTTTAGTAGCTATATAA